GCTTCCCGTAGCAGCACTAAGGTGCTGCATAGCAGAAACACATAAAAACCGACTGCTCCGAAAACTACTGCAATTTTTTTCGGGATATTGAAGATTCAAAAAAATCCAAATCCTTCTAAAAGAACGGACCTTGCAAGCGGAGAGCCCATAGCAGTCAAAAATAAAAAGTGTTTCGCGTGTAGTTTTTCGGGCGAGAGTTAAACATCTGTGTGTTTCGAAAAAAAAAAAACGTGTGAACAACAGCTTAACAAAATGAAATTTGAGAATAAGGTTTCAGCCAATTCCACGGTTTACAAATGTTTACGATCAAAACTTCAAACTTAAACAATTTGTTTTTTTCTGAAAAATGAAGTATTGCTACATGGCAACGCGTCCACTTCCAGAAAATGTGCTATTATTTAGGGAAGGGAAGTAGTGGTAGCATGGAGCACAGGGTTCTGGTTATACAGCAGCTGAAATCAGCGTCTGCTGTAAATTATTTTGGTAGAACATCTTTTATGTAGTACGACTGATATTCCCAGCTGATAAGGATTTTCAAATGCAGATCTTTTTAAGTACTTTATTATCTCTGCTACTGCTTATCCTCAGTGATTATGTCACTAGCACATTTCAGTCATTTCCTTATGTACACGTAGCTCACATTTTCTCAGTCGAAAAGAAATTAATCGGCTAACGGTCTCCAAATAAATTTTGAATTACATACATAAATCTCTATCATTCTCATAACCATCCTTATATTTCCAATGGACTATGTATTTTTTATATATTGCGAACAATTTGCTCGCTTATTATCAGCTGCTCAGCTAAATGAGAATTTTTATCCATCCTTAGATTCACGACATATTTCAAGTAAAATACACAAACAGAGGAAGTATCTATAAAAAACATTGGGGAAAAAGGGCCTCTATCAGCGACAATTAAAAAACACAGAGCAATGAGTTGTAAAGCATAATTTAAGCTGACACATACTACCACGAAATCGTAGAAACAATCAAAGCGATATCAGAAATGGCTAAGGCGCAACTACAGACTTCCACCAATAAACCTCTTGTTTTAGCCGATACTCCCACCAACCCCTTAATCAACAACTTGCATCCCATCCTTGAACAGTCCAACATATCCTCCACATAGACCTCTTTCCAAAAATGATGCTGGGAGAACCCCAATTATTTCGCTTATGTCTACTCATCCATAATGACTGACATAGCGATGACTTCTCATGTTCTATCGCTACCACATCCAGACATTAGCAAATATCGTAAGTTATGACAAATAACTTTGAATCTGCTATCTTGAGACAAATCCACTGAAGGCTACTTTCTCCAAATTTCTAATTGTATTAAAATACATCTGGGCCTGAAAAAGGTGAAACTTTTTCTGGTTGCTCTAATTTGGTTCAGTTTGATAACTGGGTGCGAAATGAATGCTTGGCACCAGAATACTGCTCCCCTAAAAAAGATATACAACTTTTTCTAGAGCATTCTAAGGGGCAGAAGAGTGCTTACCAAACACAGCACATAGACAGTGCTGATCACGGTTCACAACACTGTGTAATAAGTATGCTGATCCTCATGGAAATCTGCTAGACAGGCCAAAAACTATCTGCTGTTTCATTATTCCGGCAGAAGTTTAGGCCTAAACAGATGGAACTACGGAAAACAGTGAGTTTTGAACGGCCCCTGCAGCTTCTGTAGTAGCATCGCTTCCCGCATTTTTTTTCCTTCTTTAGCTTCTAATTCATTCTCAGACAAGTTTTTTTGCAAACCAGCTATTTTATGAGAAATCTGATAACAAAAAGTTGTTTACTGCCTCAAATACTACCCAAACACTGAACTTGAGCGTGACTAGTGATTTTTGATCTTTGTCTACCAAAACAACACCGAAAAAGTTTTGCAGTCACGGAGAAACGAAGTTCTAGCATTACCGAACCATCACTCTGCTTAAAAATAAATTTGAACCAGAAAGATGCAAGCAATAAGTGGCAAAATTCTTAACAGAGCAAAGCCGTGTCCACTTCATGCGAATTGAAAATAAGAAACTGAGAGGGATCATTTCGATGTCGATCGAATGTAACATATCACTGAATAATACATTACTCAAAGAAAGCGATCAGGGGGAATGCCTCCGAAGAAATGAGGCGTGTGCGCTGTGGCTATGACCCTACAAACTAGAATATGCCACAGCAAGAGAACTTGCCGTAGTTGTATTAAGCACATAACTACGACGTCCCAAGTTGACTGCCCCAGCATTTTTGGTGTTAGTTTAAATCCAATAGTTAGCGACGCGCACCAGCCATGCCGTGCGATCATGCCTTTTTTTTGCACTATTTCGTGCTGTAGCAAGATCCTTTGGATTTATTTGTGACGTACTGGCCCATGAAGTTCATAAAATTAGCAGTTTTAGCGCCAGGAGCCCTCATAAGGCCGTACGCGAGAACCACGCATACCTGAGAACTGAATTTGAAATCTATGAGTTCCAGGTGGGTGGGAGACACAACCCCAAAATTTCAGCTTTCTAGTCTTTCTAGTTCACGAGTTCGCGATTTTCCCGTCAAAACTTCCACCCTTTCACACGCGGGGCCTAGACTTGCGTAAGGGTTGGTGCCGCGGCCCTGGGGCGGTACTTGGCCAGGGAAGCCATTGGCAAAATTTTGGCGCCGAAGCTTGCTTGGATGCCGAGTTGAAATCCCGGACAGACAGACAGACACACAAACTCCATGGGTCGTCACAGTATGCGTTTTTTGCAAAACGCATAAACAGCAGATAAACCCAGGCTGGAACGCACCGGGCGGGCCCGTGCTATCATGCGTTCTTGCACCGGACTTGAAGTAATCAGGTCATTAACTGCATGAACGGTTGTTTCTTTACACCTACCTTTTGCGGTCATTAGCATAAATCACCATAAATTTTGCATATAGTAAATGCACAATTTCCAATTAACAGTCGTTCTTTAAAAGTAACCTAGCTGTTCAGTGAGAAATTTTTCCGCTAAAAGCTTTATGTGCCCGTACGTAATAAACACGCATACCTCAAGGCTGAATTTGAAATACTTAATTTATACTTGGACAAGGAACATTCCCCTAAAACTTCAGCTTTCTAGCTTTTCTGGTTCCCAAGTTAGTAATTTTCCCACAGAAACTTTCATATGCCCTTATATGAGTACCACGCATAGTTTGGGCTGAATTTGAAATCTTTAGCTATCACATGCATAGGAAATATCCCTACAAGTTTCAGCCCCCTGGCTTGTGTGGTTCCCGAGATCGCTTTCCAGCCAAAAAATTTGCATATTTTTTTAACGCTTCCGTACGCGGCACCCAGGCTTCCGCGGGGGATGAAATTAAAAAGAGTGGGTCGCGCATGGTACTCCTAAAGTTTCAGCCTTCTAGTTCTTCTAGCTCTTGAGTTGAAAGTGAGTGACAGAAAGTAGGAACACACAGACAGACCCACGCACACACACAGACGGCCTCTTCCCAATATGCGTTTTTGCAATTTGCATATATGCAAAAGCGCATAAAAAACTCAGTCTATGCCATTGGAAATTATTCCACCGAAACCTGTCATCAGTAGAGAATTTCGCATTTATGAAGGTGATGCTTAGGTAAAGCTGAGGTAAAACAGCGTAGGTAAAGCTGAAAGCTCTCAGCTTTGCCTGAGCACCAGCTTCACGAACAGCGAAGCCCACTACTGCAGATTGGCTTTTGTACAGCAATTTCTACTCATAAATTTTTTCTTTTGCCACGTTTTTTATTTGTTTTTTGCTTCTGTTTTCTCAGTTTTCATTTGCTTTTCCTTTTATTCATAGGTTCTGATTTCTTAATTTCGCTTTTCTTCGTCTTTTTTTCTATAAGTTTAGGTTTTATTTTGTTTTCTTTGTACTGCTGTGTTATCCCTTTTCCTCTTTACTACTGTCTTCAGTTTTTGCCCCGAACTCCTGACTAGTACCGTTCCTCTTTTTGATCCTGTCCCATATCCCGCCTCCATGGCGGCTTCCGGACGCCCATCACCCACCACTCCCCAACAACTGTCACCATTAATCAGCCCTAACTGTGCCCTTGTTCCACTCCTCTATCCTGCTCCAGTCTATGCCTTCGGAGCTCCTTCTGGGCACTCACCCATCACCACCTCTCAATTACGCCACCCCCTCCACTCAGCACCCCCCAACTCCGCGTTCCAGCTGCAGTGTGCTGGGTAACGCTATCCAGCAGCCGCGAAATAGCGTCAGCAGAGAAGCTAGAATAACGGCCGAGCGATTTTTAGTAGTTAGCCTTTAGAAGTCGCCAAAGTCGCCCCTGCAGCTCTCCGGAAATACGGTTTATCTTAGGGGGAACTAACTATTCTACTACTTCATTAGTATTTAAGCGAGTTGCCAGCTTACTACATAGAGCACGAGAAGCAGTGGCTAACCAAGGCATATCAGAAATGCTGTCCAACATAAAAACAAAGCAAGAACAGACGACAGTTTATTAGATGTCTTTTAGATAGTACATGCTAATGGCCGGCACTTCAGCAGCATATTTCAAAATGTGCGCGGTGTTTAGAACCTATTGTGATTTTTACTCACATTCGATGTCGTTTCCTAAATGTTGCAGCATTTCAGATCTATTTTGTTCCCTCTCCACTTTTTCAGAATTTTCTTCCTATTTTTATGCGTTTTTTGCAGCTGCGCAATGCAGAAAACGCATATTGACTAGAGGTTGTCTGTGTGTGTGTCTGTGTGTCTGCGCGTCTGTGTGTCTGTGTGTTCGTCTGTACCGATTTTTCATCTCGAGATCGACAAAAGCTACGGGGCTGAAACTTTGGGGGTATAATCTACAAGCACGTATGGGCCCCCATCCCCGAAATTGGCGCCGGAACCCCCCGCCAAATTTTTTTTGGGGTCAATTCATAACTCGAGGATCTGAGAAGCTAGAAGGCTGAAATCTTGGGGTAAT